TACAGACTTAGGTCACAGCTAAGATGATGACCAGGGTCCTTTTGGTGACTCCTCCCAGGCTCTTTCCTAAGCTCTCACTCCCAGCTTGGTCTCCCATTTCTCCACCTAGAGAGGCCCTTGCCGAGCGTTTTCAAGGTCCTTCTCACATGCTTCCCTCACAAAGAAGCCTCCCTGGTCTTATAAATGGGAGGTTCCTCAGAGAACACTTTGACAATGACATCTGATATCCAGGGACTGTGATGATTAGGGATTATAAAGTGCTATTGTCTGTCACTCACTGAACTTTGACACGTGACTCATTTTTGGTTCCTGTGTTTCTTTACAGCATACTGGCGATGACCTTTATAGTCTGGACTGCAGAGTGAGGAATGTGAGAAATGTGTGAAACGCTTACTATGATGCAGGGTAGCAGGAAGTGTTTAGCACATGTTCTCTGCGCTTCTCTGTGGAACCTGGTACTTGTTTCCGGATACACTTATGTGTGGAGACCAGCACTACTGAATGAGAACACCCTGCCTATAATCAGGCTGCCAGTTACTTTCTCATTAAACACCACGAGGGGCCAGAAATATAGCTCAGTGGGCCGGACCACATGATTTGATGGCTGGATAATCAGTAGGAGTGACCCAGAGCTGGGAATAGTCACTGCACTGCTGAGTGTGACTCCAAAAGGAAACTCTTCCACTGTTTGAAGGTGCTCAGTGCTACCAGACCATGTTCCTGGAGATGATTTTCTATGAATGCCTGACTTTTTCAAAAAGGGTTTTTATGTTCGTAGAGATTAATTTTACTCTTTACGTTGGTTCCAATATTGTTACGGCATAGCCTGATTTGCTTACTGAGGTAGGTTGCGTGAAGTTTTTACTCTCCAAGTTTCACTCAGCTGTACATTCATCCCCACCCCACATGGTACAGGAGCTGCCAAGTGTATTAAGGAACACAGCCAGGAGGAAACAGTGCAAAAGTCAGACATAATAGTCAATAGAGAGAAACAGTTTGCTCTCATCTACACATCAGCACTGAGGTTGCTGCGTCTCTCTGTACACTAATAGTTCTTGAAGTTTTTTTTTTGTTGTTGTTGTTGTTGTTTTTGCTTTTTGGGTCACACCCAGCGATGCACAGGGGTTACTACTCCTGGCTCTGTGCTCAGGAATTACCCCTGGCGGTGCTCAGGGGACCATATGGGATGCTGGGAATTGAACCCGGGTCGACCACGTTCAAGGCAAATGCCCTACCCGCTGTGCTATTGCTCCAGCCCCAAAGTTTGAAGTTTTCTAAGTTTATTTCTTTCTCTGATAAATATTTCAACAACTGCCTGCAAAAGCTCTAAAATATTTGCTTAATCATTTTTGAGGGGCATACTTTTTTTTTATATTGACATGTAATTTGTATTCATAAAACTCAACCTTTCAAAAGCATACTCTGCAGTGGAGTTTAGTATAAACCTGAGGTTCATGCAGCTGAAGTGGACCCCCATGGTTGGGTCAGGTTAAGCAGAGGGGAGAGAGATGGCCACTTTCTCCTAATCCACCTCTGCCACCTTGGGACTGGCTGGGAAAGTTAGGACTGATGAAGTCTGCAGTGAGGCCCTGCAAGGCACAGACCAGAACCCTTTCAGCCCCACTAGGTGGCCTCAAGCCACACCTGATGTCCACTTGACCTTCTTGGCACAGTAATTCAACCCCATCACCTGATTTCTCAGGGAGTCGTGGACTCAGGCTAGAGAGAGGAATTCCTCTTTGCAGGGAAAGAAAATCAGTCCTGGGCCTTACCAAGGGTCTGGGTTCTCGTTCTATCTCACAGAAAAGAATTTCAGGAGAAGTGCAGTAAAGTAAAAACAGATTTTATTTGGAGCCCTTGAGGATGGGGAGGAGGAGAGAAAGGGAGAGAGAGTAACACACTCAAGAGAGAATGCCGGCTTCTCCAAAGATGGAGAGAGTCCCAGCACACATCTCAAGAGGGAAGATGCGGGCAACACATGTGCTCAGGTGCCACATGTGTTTGGCCACATGGGCCCAAGAAGCACATCGGCTCAGGCAGCATATGCGTGCCCCTCCTTTGCTCAAGTTGGCTTTTATAGGAATTCCACAAGCTGCCCCACATGGGGCTTCTAGCTAGGTAAGAGTCCATTGCTAGGGTGGTTGCCAAGAGGGTAGATATGGGAGTAGTTGATGATCTTCTTTGAAATTCTTCTCCTTAACCTTTGTTCCTGTTGGAGCTTCTCTCAAGGAGGGTCCAGTCTTCTGTGGATCTGTTGACGCCAGGTGAAGATTCCTGAACTCACCAGGCGGGCTCTTAGCAGCCTTGGAGCTATGGGTTGTATTTTACTTCCTAGGAATTCCATTGCCATGGGGACTTTCCCTGTCTACCTGCCCTCATCACAGCCACAACACTTGTCTAATTCCAGAGCATTTTCACCTCCCCTTAAAAACAGAAACCACAAGTCCTCATGTTTGGATGTTATAGAAAGTGTTAGTTTTTATTTTATTAAATCTTCCTAATATTATTTTGAAAATCAGAAGACTGAATGTATATATTGTAATTAAGATCAAGAAACCTTATTCTTAAAAAGTTTTGCTAGATTGCACTTCATTTGCTTAAGGTTTTACACACACACACACACACACATACACTTTTTGTATTGATCATAATAGTATTGCTTGTCTCATGGGGATATAGTTGCCAATGCTATGAAGGAAACATGTGTGAACACAGTGAAGTATCTTTATTGAACACATACTATTTCCCAAGCATTATTTTTCACAGTTTTAGGAGGTCAGTTCTATTATCATACTCTTTACTATGTGAGCAAATAAAAGCATATAAATTTGAAATGTGTTATCCCCGGCATCTCCAAATTAGCTGTTTACATTTTAAGGGCTTGAGCGATAGCACAGTGGGTAGGACGTTTGCCTGGCACACAGCTGACCCAGGTTCGATTTCTCTGCCCCTCTCGGAGAGCTTGGCAAGCTACCAAGAGTATCTTGCCTGCACGGCAAAGCCTGGCAAGTTACCTGTGATGTATTGTGATGTATTCGATATGCCAAACATGTCACGGTCACGGTCCTCCCGTTGTTCATCGATTTGCTCGAGCAGGCCCAGTAACGTCTCCATTGGAGACTTTGTTGTTACTGTGTCTGGCATATGGAATACGTCACGGGAGCTTGCCAGGCCCTGCCGAGCGGGCGAGATACTCTCGGTAGCTTGCTGGGCTCTCCGAGAGGGGCGGAGGAATCGAACTTGGGTTGGCCATGTAGGCTGCGTGCAAGGCAAATGCCAAACACAGTAACAACAAGTCTCACAATGGAAACGTTACTGGGCCCGCTCGAGCAAATCAATGAACAATGGGAGGACAGTGACATGTATTCCATGATTGCATAATTAATAAACTAAATGATGGAGGCACTTTGAATCTAGACCACAGGTCTTTAACCACTTTGCTCTATTGCTAGCTATAAAACAGAATGTTTAATTTGGTGATAGCATTCAGTCTTTGAGTGAAGGCCTACGATATGCCTTCAAAAGTCTTCAACCTAGTTCTCCTCTTACCATATGGAAGGAGCTAGCTGTGAACCAAGGCTGAGATTTTTTTTTCTTTTTGGGCTGGAGCAATAGCACAGTGGGTAGGGCGTTCACCTTACAAGCGGCCAACATGGCCGACCCAAGTTCGATTCCTCCGCCCCTCTCGGAGAGCCCGGCAAGCTACCGAGAGTATCTCGCCCGCACGGCAGAGCCTGGCAAGCTCCCCGTGACGTATTCGATATGCCAGACACAGTAACAACAAAGTCTCCAATGGAGACGTTACTGGGCCCGCTCGAGCAAATCGATGAACAACGGGAGGGCCTTTACCTTTACCTTTACCTTTACCTTTGGGTCACGCCTGGCAATGCACAGGGGTTACTCCTGGCTCTGCACTTAGAAATTACTCCTGGCGGTGCTCAGGGGACCCTATGGGATGCTGGGAACCGAATCTGAGTCAGCCGCATGAAAGGCAAATGCCCTACCTGCTGTACTATCACTCCAGCCCCCTGAGGCTGAGATTTGTTCCTCTCTGGAGTGTGTGACCCTGGAGCTTGTGACCAATGTCTTAGATGTCTAGTTTCAGAATAACTAGCCATTGTCTCTGATAATTGCTGCTATGTTGGAATCCCTACATTGGTTGGAGGGTAGCATATATGACTTGATTTATGTATGTAGTCCGGGTGCTCAAACAATGACACCAAATGAAGGCGTGGTAAAGGTAAAGGTAAAGGCCCTCCCGTTGATCGTCGATTTGCTCGAGCGGGCCCAGCCCGGCAAGCTACTGAGAGTATTCGATATGCCAGACACAGTAACAACAAAGTCTCCAATGGAGACGTTACTGGGCCCGCTCGAGCAAAATGAAGGCGTGAATAAATAAAAAGTCTTGGCCTGAAATCATTTGAACTTTTTTAAAAGACTTCCTTAAGTGATTAACCATTGATGTTTAAAGGAGACTACTTTGAATAGTTCATTATATCTGGGTTCTTTGGCTACAGATATTTTTTTTTCCAAAAGAGTAACTGTAATTCTACGTATACATGAAGCAAAGTAAGAGTTTTTTTTTTTTGCATACCCAAAGAAATGCTATTACAAATATGCTTGGAAGAGAATTAGTCACAGTGTGTGCCTTTTGTAAGCAAATGAATGAGGGCACTCTTAAAAGTAGATGGTTCGTGGCTTTTATTAACCAAATAAAGTCTTGGATCTGGCCCCCCAGGTCTCTAGCTGGTCTAAATAACCCTCCCTGTGACCTGGGTGCTGGGGGTGGGGTGCTGCTCCCTGCGCCTCAGAAGGGTCCTGCCAACTCTGTATTGTCCTCTTGGATTTGCAGTCAGATGTCTGAGGCTGGCAGGCTCTGGGCAGGCAATGAGTTCTTTTCCTGCGAGCTGGGCATAAAAAAAAAAAAAAAAAGAGATCAGCATGGGAACCGCCGCCTTCAGGGCAGCTGCTGGGAGCGGGAGCAGGCAGAAATATCCTCCTTGCAAGGTTAACTTGTGGGAGGAGCCTGGCCTAGGAGGCACCGTCTGGGCGAAGGTGTGCTCTCCTGAAGCAGTTCTAACCTGGACGATCATTAACTCTTTCAGTCAGCTGGCGAGCAGCGGTGACTGGGCAAGCTGGTCCTGGAAGCTTCTGCTCAGGAAGGCCAGGGAGGAGCCGTGGAAAAACTCTTTCATGGGCGACCGCTTTGAGAGGGGTCTGCACGCTTTGCTCAATGAAGGAGAAGAGAATGAGATGGTAAGATTCCAGCTACACCCCCTCTTGCTCTCCCCAACTCCTAGCCCCTCCACCCCCCACCACACACACAGACACAGACACACGCGCCATCTCCCACTCGCACACACACTCAGGAACTTCTCTCCACGTTGGTTCTCAGCAGCAAGTGAGAAAAGGGCCAGTTGGAGGAATCTCAGTGCCACAACCCTGACCTCAGAGAACTGAGATTTGTCAGAAGGAAGGCATTGGTTTTCTCCAGAAAATTTTCTTTTCAGGACTAAAGGGAGAGCAGCCCAATGCCATGCTGTGGTTCATTTCTGAGCCTCCCTGCCATAGAAAGTTGGACAAAAGTTCTAATAATCTCAGTGAAATCTCTCATGCCAGGAGCAGCCTACTCCCTGTCAGGGAGAAGGGAAACTGAGATGAAGCTGGACTAGAAAGTGGGTCTCTGGACTCTTCTCACAAGTCTGTGTTCACAGTGACCGGACAGGAGGAATATATAAATTATTAAAAATGATGAGCCTACACATATTTCTGTTTCCTTCTAGAATTTCACCTGCTGTTCCTTAGTTGTAGAGACGGGTTATAGAGTTCACTCTCTCTGCTATTTTAGATGTGATCTCATCTGGGGTTTGGTGGGAAAATCAAAGAAGATTCTTGTGTTCTTACTGAATTGCAAGCCGATTTTTCAATTACAATGTAATCGAGAGAGTTAGAAATGTGTACTTCTGTTTAATAAAGCTTTCCAGCTAATTGTGTAAGCACAACCTTTTATGTCAGTAATGATGTAATTAAAATGTTAAAATGTGGTGCTTTCATTCTATAATAGCACTTTATCTTTCTGGAATTAATATCTAAATAACAAATCCCACAGATATTTGCTTAAAATGTTTTCTTGGTTAATTGCTTTAGCCTGCACTATTAAATTCTTTGTTCCTAAACTGGTCTTTCAAGTCTAATCTGCTTACCTGTTCCTATAGCAACAACATGTTTTGAACCTTCAAGAGTAGATCCTCCTGCTATCAAAGCTGAAAATTTATAAGGAACCCCCAAATTTAGATTTTTTTGCATCTTTCAGAATTGACCAGCAAATGACTATTGGCTTCAGACCCTACACAAATGTCCCCAGAAATGATTATTTAACCCATGTTGTATTTTCTCTAAAGAAGAAATATTCTGTTAAACTCTGTATTAAGTCAACATTTTCCTCCTCCTCTCCTCATTTTCCCCTTTTTTGGAGGGATGTGGAGGGCACACCTGGCTGTGCTCATTGCTTATTTCTGGCTCTGTGGTCAGAGATCTCTTTTGGTGGTGCTTAGAGGAACCATATGTAGTGCTGAGGATTGAACCCAGGTCAACTGTATGCAAGAGAAGCACCTTATCCGCTGTTCTATCTCTCTAGTTCCTCCTTCCTCATTCTTAATAGTCTTCATCAGAAGGCATGGACTTCTCTCTCTCTTTTTTCAATCCCTCTCAAATCTGCATCTTGAAACACTCTTTTCTCATATACTCATTTCTGCTTCTTGACAACCTGTCATTCAAGAGTCACTAATAGTCATCCACTTGCTAGCAGACCTTCCCAGTCCTAAGAAGCTGCACCTTTCGTTCCTTTTAACCTTTCCTAACTTTTTTCTTTCTTTTTTTTTTCCGTGCACACTGGGTGGCGGTCAGCATCTACTCCTGCCTCTGTGTTCTGAGTTCACTCCTGGTGGTGATCTGGGGACAGTATATAGTGCTGGGGATTGAATCCAGGCCTTCGAACTCTTTTTTTTTCTTTTTGGGTCACAACCAGCGACGCACAGGGGTTACTCCTGGCTTTGCACTCAGAAATTACCCCTGGTGGGGCTCAGGGGACCATATGAGGTGCTGGGAATTGAACCTGGGTCGGCTGCATGCAAGGCAAATGCTCTACCCGCTGTGCTATCACTCCAGCCCCGAGAACATTTTTTTTTCTTTGAAGTAGCTTCTCTGGTCTTTTCTTCCTCTTTTGTTGCTGTTGTTGCAATGACCAAAGGTCACACACTTGGTTATTGTGCGCGAACACATGGTTGCGATGCTCATTCATACTTGAACACTGTATGCTGAGGTTTATACACTTTGATGCAATTCTAGGCATCATGAATCAGAGAGGCACTGGGATTCCAGTTGGGCTCAGGGGGCAGTGGCAGAGATCAAACTTACAATCCCCACTGGCCTCAGACTTGCAAGGCAAGCATTTCTGCCACTGAGCTTTCCCTGGGACCATCAGTTAGTTCTGTTTTGTATATAACTGCAAGTACACTGAGAGAAAAAGGGCCTTTCATATGGAAGGGACACAGTGTTTTCTGGAAGGATGTGCTCTGGTCAACCATCTCGGCGGAGGTACAGCAATTAGTATGCACTTCTGTTCCACCCAGAGAAGCCTGGCTACCTGCCTTGTGCTCTGTCCCTTTTAAACTCCATTCCCTTCACTTAGAGCAATACGCTTCCAAAAGGATCAAGTTATCTAAGATGTACTCTAAATATTTTCATGGGGATTTTCAGCTTGCCAAATATTTTTTCTCGGTCAGCAGCTTATTTAGTTTTCACTATGTCCTGTAAAGTAAGTGTTGTGATTCCCCAAATGAGGACACAGAGAGAATTTACTGGTGGAAGGTTGCATCAGCCAAGAAGTCCAGGAACTAGGGCACCACACATAGGTAGTTAAAGTGGGTAACTCCTTTGTCTCTGGACCCAGAACTTTCTTCTTGACATCCTTCACATTGCTGTCTGAGAATACCACATTCTTCTTGTTTGTTTGGGGGGCCACACCCCGTGATTCTCAGGAGTTACTCTGGCTCTGCATTCAAGAATCGCTCCTGACGGTGCTCAGGGAACCATACAGCATGCTGGGAATCAAACCCAGGTTGACCACATGCAAGATAAACATGCTACCTACTATACTATTACTTTGGCTCCCAAACATCTGACTCTTAACCAGAAAATAGATAAGCCCCCCTCCAATCCACCACTGCCTTCGATTCTTTTGCTTTTGGGACACACCAGGTGTTGCTCAAGGAACCACATGGTTTTGGGGATCCAACCTCAGCCTCCTGCTTGCAAAGCTTGCAGTCATTCCCTTGAGCTCTCTCTGGTTTGTATACTTTCACCCTTAACAAGAGAAATTTCTGAAGGATATTTGATCTTTCTTAGAGCTTAGGATCTGCTGTGTTATATGTGACTATAGTTCTTGAGTAAGTCTATCTTTTCAGACTTCAATGCTTATCTCTTTTTGGCAGTCTAAAGCACCTACAAATATGTTATCTCAAAAGATTTACATGTTTAATAACATATTATGTTTGGACCTTAGCAGAAATTGCTCCTTGAATGATAGAAACGGCCTCACCTTTCAAAAGAAATCATTTTAAGGTACAACCCTCATGCCAAAGGGAAAAAAAAATACGGAGACAAGCCTTCTCTTCTGACCTTAAAGTGCTGAGGATTATCTTCTGTTTTAGAATAAAGATAGGTACATGAATGAACAATTCTCAGTAACCTGAAGATTATATTCTTATATGCACAATAAGATAGGAGCCAAAGGAAGAGCTATTGGAAAGATGAGAAACGACATGGTAGAATGTGACCTTCAGACACTAGTGAACCATCAACCCAAGTGGCCTAATGAATAAGGCATTGGCCTCTTAAGTCAGAGATTGTGGGTTAGAGTCCCACCCGGGGTACAAGGAGTTGAGTTTTAGACTTCAGTGTGAAAAGTTGTGGCCACAGAGAGCAGACAGACTCCCAAATAGCACCGAGGCAGTCCAGAGGACAGACTCACTTGCTCTGGGTTAGCTCCTCAGCTGCAGGCGTCTCAGTGTCGTATTTATCAAATGACCAAGGTTCTTATTCCTTTCTCTGTCTACAGGCTCTGATGAGGGTTACTTATGTGGTTATCTATGTGAAAAGTTTGGAGAAGTTTATAATTCTGGAATAGTATAAGCAGCTGTTATCTAAACTAGAGATTCTTAAACTTTTTCCACTCATGACCCTTTTTCACCTGACAAATTTTTGTGTGACTTCAGGTATATAAATAGAGCCAGGTAGATATTCAACATAGTTATACAAATCGAACTATGATGATGCATTATAAAGAAATTTATTTTAAGAATATTTGAAGATTTTCAGTGACCTCTGTTGTTCATTTATGTGACTCCATAAGGGTCCCCCCATCCCCCGCCCAGTTTAAGAGATGAGTCTTTAAGCACAGATAGAGACAGGACCACTGCAATTAGCCAATTGAACACATCCTCTCCCCCCAGAATGAGATAATATCTTCTCACTAAATTAAGGCAAGCGAGAGATGGATGATACTCATTCACAAGTTATAAAAAATCATTTTTACCTGGGGAATAATTTATAATTTTTCTTGTAATCCTTTGACTTATAATACTTATGTTAGGAAAATACTTGTTTTAGAATTCATTTTCCTTTTTTTTTTTTTATAAAATGGTAATATCAAATGGCGCAGGTGTTTTAACATTGTGATATTACATATTTATGTTCTGGAACATCTGGAAAACACTTCAGTGCTTATTTCATTATACTATGATTCTTCAAGGTATCTGTGACTGGAGGGATAGTACAGCTGGTAAGGTGCTTGCACCAGACCCAGGTTCAATCCTTTGCACCTCTTATGGTCCCATGAACCCTGTCAGGAGTAATCCCTGATCATAGAGCCAGGAGTAAGCCCTGAGCACTGCTGGTTATGTTCCATGCCCCCTACTACCCTCCTTTCCCACAACAAAAAAGCAAAGATATCAGGGGTTAAGTGATTTGAACATTGCTCATCATTGAGTTTCCCCAAATGAAATGTGTCTGCTTCCAAGGTAGTATTTTGTTCCAGGGAGAGTTGTTGAATTTAAGAATCTAAAAAAATCTAAAATAATTCTTTTATTTTTCTAGAGCTTAACACATAAGAACTACTAATCTTGAAATCTTTTTTTTTTCTGATTGCAAAGGTAGTATGTTTCCTGTAAAAGTGTTGAAATGACAGATAGAGTTCC